GCAAGTTTGATTTGGTACAAATGCAATATTAACCAATATTCTAGTAAGAGACTAATAGCTTAAATCAGATTCACCCCAAAAGTCAAATTGATAAGCAAAGCATTCAGGGGACAAACCAACAAAAATCCAAGTGAATGAATGCACTAGCAGCTTAGTAAGTTCATAATGATTTCTTAGATGTATCAGAAACAACACGAACCTAACGGCATACAATAGCTCTAGCAAGCAAAACACTCCACAACAAAATTCCAATATCAGAAGTGTTAGATTTAAGGTTTTGATGAGAACAAATTGAGTTATCTCTGGTTTAGCAAGTTGATCGATCACCTAATCGATCGAAGGTTAATCAATCATGTATCAGATAAACTGTCTCTATATGTTAGTAACTTAGCACCAAGGTTGATCGATAACATAATAGATAATTCAAAATTTATGAGTTGATCGATCAATTGATCGATTATCAATAACACTGTTTAATGTAAAAGATTGTAGAAAATTATCGATAACTTGATCTGATAATTTAGAGTTTGATCAACTATCAGAAAAAGCCATGGAATCTTGCTAAACGTTTATCAATACCTAATCGATCAACTAATTATCAATGAGAACACAGATAAATGGTAAAGTCTTCCTAATTTATTTGGATAAGCTGATGAAAAGTGAATGATAGAATATCAAGTATGAATGAAGTGTTCCCTTGGAAGCTATCCCTCGCCTTCCTAACTTGATTAAGAATATAGAGTTCAATCAACCACAGTTATCATTAGAGTTGATTCATTGATCAGTCCACCAACTAACAAGAACTTATAACTATTCAACTCGAACAGCGTATAAGACCATGTTAGCAAGTTACTTGTTTGGCAAGAGAATTAGTGTTAGCAAAATTGAATCCTCTTCGGTGACAGCCACCGCAAATTACCTCAGACATAATTCAAATCAATTTCAAAACCTGACTCAACTCGATTCCAAGAATTAAAATCAATTCTACTCCAATATAAAGGATACAATCCTTCAATAGAGTTCATGCATACAAAATCGCTATACACAAGACTCTAATTCAGATTAAAAAATTCCACAATAAAGCATAGCAATATCATATTTGAAACCATAAAATGAATGTATAACTCACATTACACAATACAAAATCAAATCAGAACAGAAGAATCATATAGAACTCCCTCTACAGTGTAAGGGCTCAGGGTTGGATCCAACTTTCAGGAGAACTAAGGACAACTAGCTCCTCATTACTGTGGCAGCTTCACTAAGGTCCACGAAATGATCAACCATGGTGAGGCTGAAGGAGAGCGTGAGATGGTGGTAATGGAGAGACAGAGATTGTGAGAGTGATGGGGAGAGCAAGACGAAGATGGAGCAAATGAGCGGGATAGATATATAATGGAGAGATCATGAGGTTAAATGAGACGAAGATCCCAAGAGTGATGAGATGATGGTTCGATGAAGTTGGAGTGAAGGGGGGTCGGATGATATGGATTCTGAAGGATAGAGAGGTGGCCGAGATTTCCAGGTCAGATGATGAGAGCAAATGAGCTCATGATTCCCCTTTCAGAATGATGGAGATGGTCAATTGCCCTAGTTTGATCCATGAGGTCCCAAAACGCACCATTTAGCTAGGTCCTTCTTAGTCATCTCTAGAATTTGGGGATTTTCCTCACTTAACCTGCAAAAATCACCTAAAATGTTATAATATCATGTATTTAGAAAATATTCAAGATTAATGCAATTTAGTTAATAAAAAATACTAAAATCCCTAATAATCATATTGACTAGCATAGTAAAATATGGATTTATCACACACTAAATAAAGCCTTTCACAAAGAGTTTTAAGTTTAAAAATAAAAGGGCTATTACTTGAGTTCTTAATTGAAAAGAAGACTACTTGATAAGGTTTTCATTACACAAGGTTATCTTATTGAGAAACAATAGAAAGAATCTTTTACTAAGTTAAGAACCGATATTGCAAAACTTGAAGTCATATGCAAGAAACAGGTTTCTGAGTGAGTTTCTCAAGAACTACTTGATATGCTTAAAACATATTTTTTGAGAAGTTTATCGAAAACTAGATGGAAGATTTTAGATAGAAAGGTCCAAAGTACTTTATCAAGAAATGGGTTTCTTGATAACGTTTTCAAGAAATGTACACTTGAAAGTTCTGGGTTGGAATAGATAGCACTTGAATTAATTCCTGAAAATTGGAAAAAGTGCTAGAGAAGAAAAACTTGAGAATTAAACTCCTTTTCAAGTGAGAACTCAATAGAGAAATCATTAAAGCATGAGTTCGAAATCATTACTCAAGAAGTTTATTGGTAATCTAGATTCTCAGTAAGGATCTCGAAGAACCAAAACTCTATCTCATTATTTAAACTTTAAATTAAAACAATGAAACTCAAGTTAAACTTGAGAAAAACCAAACTCAATTAGATTATCAAGAAATTGAAGACCTCAACAAAAATTAAGAAACTTTAAAAAAAAAAAAAAGAATCTAGAATTTCAAGAATGCTGTCGTGAAAGAAGATTATCAATAACCATATCAAGAAAAACTCTTCAGAAACTATTTCAGTAAAACTTGATAATGTTATTGAGAAAAGTAATAAAAAGCTTGTAAACCAAAAACATCTGTCATAATCAAAACTAATCATATCTAACAAAACTATCAAATAATTAATGCTATCTAGAGAACTTGTAGGCCATACTTGAACCCTAAACACTTGATGGTTTTGTGTTTGAAGTGTCAAATACACGGTCCCATATTTGACGTTTATGTCCCGTCAAATATTTCCTCGGATCTTATATGAGGCATCATTAATTGATGGTTCGAAACACATATGCGTAAAAACTAACCACCAAATATCAATAATTTTGTAATAGCGCATCTATTAGGCACGTACTTTGTATGTATTCACCTATATTTCCAATCCACATTCAACACAATTACTCCTTGCCGTGACCTGAATGCGGGCAATGCGATGGAAACATGCATTTGATTCATGAACACAAGAATTTTAATATATTACGTCATGTACTTAATATAAGAACTAATTGATTGATTTAAGTTAATTAAAAAAATTAGTTAAATTAGTTATATGTAATAAATATGTGTTCTTTTTCCTAAAATATCTTTGCTACTGTTAGAACTACTATTTGATAAAATATTTAATATATGCAACTACTACAAAGACTACCTTAAAAAAAATAGATAAATATTAGAGACAAAGTAAATTTTAATCTTATATTTATGATCAAATTAAATGATAAACTAGCTATTATATTAAGAACCAGTAGAAGTACTATATATGATAGAATGTCTTTAAGAATTTAAGGAACATGTCTCCATATATTACTCCAATCATGCATCATATAGGAGAACTGAGAGATGCAAAATTGTGAGCTAGCAGTGGTTTTAAATTCAATGTTGGAGCTCCAAAAGCTCACCTATGTGCTGCATAGAGGGATTTTTGAGTTTTCACTCGACTCAAAATGACTTCATATTTAGGCTTCCTTTGAAAAGGATACACTTGGTTCATTTATAAATAAAACTTAGGTAAGGCAGCCAGCTAAAGTAAATCTGGATGAAAAAACGTTATCGTTTTCAGTATTCAAATTTTATAGGTTAATAGCAGATTCTATGATTCTGTGGGAGCATCATCATGCAGTTCAAGAAAAGGCGTTGCATTTACAATTTCAAAGTAGCGTGAAATTATTTTTGAATAAAACAACATTTTATTTGAATTTTATTTTAAAGATAAATAAAGTTTGCATTACATGATGTTTTTCTTCTACAATTATTAAAATTCAGTTTGCCATAATTATATGAAAACTGTAATAGATTTTTTTAACCAACAAAACAGTAATGCCATTCCTTATAAAATATATTAAAATTTATACAAAGCAAAAGCAGTCATTTCAAAAATTCAATTACGTTAGCATGTAGCAATAATACTTTAAAAAAAAGTGAACATACTGGTAATATATACGCCTCCTATAATTAATTCACAATACGCATGATATATTTTCTTTTCATAGGGCTATCCTGTATTTTTAAGTGTCTTTAAAATAGCTAAAAAAAGGCTTATAAAATACGCAAATTTTTATTTTTTGTTATTGATAATATGATGAAACTTAAATCAAATTACTAATTATATCATTAGATCAAGTGCACAGGTGAATTCATTAGTGCACATATGCATTTAAACAATTAACAATAACAAAATAATAAATTTCCATATAAAAATTTGTAAATATTAATTTACATTATAAGAGCGTATACAAAAATTTACAAGTTTTCATAAACAGATTTACAAGTACACAAACACATTTTAACAACTAGGAATTGTAAAATAACAAATATGATTAGAAAATTTGATGTAATAAATATAAGCAATTTGACTTCAGTTTTGTGCTTAGTAATATATCTCTATATAAGCATAGTTTTATAAGCTTTGATAATGATGATTTTATTGAAGTTATAACATATTGAAGTATGACCACTAGGTTATACCAATGAATTTACGAAATATCCATTATTCACTATTATAAAGTTAAATTTTAGGATGGCTAGATCTAAATAAAATCAATGTCCAGTAATAGAGAAAAATTTATTGACCTATGGTTTAAATTATAAAAGTTTTTCTCATAATAAGAAGATGAACAAAATTATAAGGAAAAAAACAATTTGGCTTCTGAGGAACCTAAAAATAATTGGTGATGGGAAAATTCATTTTTTGTTAGAGGAGGATATTTAAATAGAAATCAAATCATTGTTTCAAAAATATTTTTACCGTTTATAAAGCAAATATGTAAAAAAAAATTATCTCGTTTTACGAAAAAGTGTTTCTGAAAAAAACTTTTAAGGTTACCAAGAGAGAGTCTGGATCTCACCACTTTTAAGTTGGATGAAATTTAGAAATTAAAAAAAAAAAGAAAATTCCAGTGACACGTTCCTCTCCTTATCTTTCTGATGCATGTGAGCTTCTCTCGGAGGGAGCGACCTCCCACCCAACCAAAACCCAGTGAGGTATGTGCCAACCCTTTCTTTCTCTCACTTGGACCCCTTTTGTTTCCGCGCACCTCCTCAAATCTCTCATTTTGTATTCTGGGGATCTTTCTTTGTTCTCTTTCTTTACCCTTTATAATGTTTCTGTCTTTGAGGCTCATCATTAGTCTAATCCCACCACAATGTGTTTCATCGCTTGTGGGATTAAAGTAAAAACCTCTATTTACCTCTTATACGTCATGATTTGATAGTGCTGGTTTCCGGAGAAAGATGAGTTTTCGGTTCTGGTAGGCCCCTTCATCGGATTGGCCGTCCCTGAGGTTTCAATTTGCAGCTCAAGTGCTTGTTAATATGCCGAACTTCTGGTGAGAAGATACATTTCATTTATACTACTCAAGCTTTTTTGGCTAGAGTTTGAGAGTTGAGACTGTTGATTAAATTACCTACTAGGCTTTTTCTCAATCTCGTGAATGGCTATGTCTTCTTTTAGATAAGTTGGGCCTTTTAATTAAGTTAATGAATTTACCTACGTCTGCTAGGGAAGTTTCTCTGCTCTGATATTAATTGGAGATTGAGCATTATCAGTTATACTGCTTTCAATGTGATTTTGGGCTCAAAAATGAAATCTCTGAGTAGTGTAGGTCTTGGTCTGAGTGTAGTTTTTGGCTGTCTTTTGCTGGCTCTTGTAGCTGAGGTTTACTACTTGTTATGGTGGAAGAAGAGGATAACCCATAGATCGGAGATTGAAAGTGACTACACTGGCCCTGTAAAAGAGCTATTCTATATGTTTTGTTGGAAAAAGCCATCCTCTTCGTTGAGGCACACCCAAGAGCTTTACTCTTCTGTGAGAATCAGTGAAGCCCTTGTTCATACTGAGCAGGAAGGTCAAGCTCAAGCCCAAGCAAGCAAGGATTTTCTTTTCAAACCCTATGGGGAGGATCAGCAGGACCTGTTTGTTCCTCCAAGGTTCTTGTTCACAATAGTGGAAGAAACAAAAGAGGATTTAGAATCTGAGGATGGGAAATCAAGGGGTAAGAGCTTGAATGATTTTCTCATAACGGAGACTCCATATTTGACACCTATGGCTTCCCCATCTCTTTTCACTCCGCCACTTACTCCTCTCATGAACACTTCTTATAACAACCATCGTGGAGGATTCAACCCTCTTTTTGAATCAACGACTGATGCAGAGTTCAATAGAATAAAGTCATCTCCTCCTCCGAAATTCAAGTTCTTGCAGGATGCAGAGGAAAAGCTAAAAAGAAAATTACAAGATGAGGGTGGTGAGGAAAAGGTAAATGATGCGAATGGTTCTTTCATCACCATTGTTGTGGATAAGTGAAAGAACAAACAAATAGAGAGAGCTTAATTGTTTACAGCTCTCTTTTACTTCAAGCAGGTACTTCTTCCCTTAGCTTCTTGACATTGATTAGAAACCATTTAACATCAGAGTCCTCTTGCTCGAGTCCTAATTAGATTGTGATGAATTTCCCCTTTTTTATGTTGGGGTTTAATTAGTTTTATCCCCTTTTGGGTTTTTTTGGGATGGAGTTAGAGTTTGATTTGCAGACCCACTATGGATTGTAACTGTATCGTCCATGTTCAAAAGTTGTGGTCCAGTACACAACAATTTTCTGCTGAGAAATGTCTGAATGGTGGGTCTGATGATGCAAACAGGAAAATTTGTGGGGTTATTATTTTTATATTGGAAAAATCTCCGTTTTCCTGATGTATCTCTGATACTGTAATTATTTCTTCGCAGTAAAAACAAAAAAAAAAAAAAAAAAAAGATGGTCCTACTCCACAGCTCATGCTATAGTCTAAAGGGCATTGCGAGGACACTTTCAAACGAGAGTTTCACTATTCCTTCTCTCCTTTTAAATGCTTATGAATGAGACATATCTGAAGCCAGCACTGTCCCATGTCTTATTTTCTTTTACTTCTTATAATTTTTTGGTTGCCATGTTTTAAGTACAAGATGATTTGACATCCACCGACTGTTCAAAATCAGACGAATAAGACTAATTAAGACATTAAGCTTGGGGTAATCCCAGGGATATGTAGGGTATTTCATCAGCTTTCAAAACTAAATAATATTCACTTGTCCATTATCCTGTTCATTGAGAGGTCATGTCCAACCACATGATTTCTCATTTGATACACTTTCACTCATTTAGAGAAACTCTAGCTACCTTGTTGAGTGTCCAATCATCAAATGCAATATGACATCACGAAATGCCTGAAGAGGATATAACTTTTGAAAGACAACATGCTTCTCCATACACTGCACAGAATCTGAAAGCATTACTGTATTATTCACCATTAGTAAATAACATATTGTAATTTTGGCCCAAAAAAAAACATATTGTAAATTTTTAATAATTGATAGTTGCAGGGGACGTTGTCAAAGGTAACTGGAAGAGTGTGTGTGTGTGTGTGTGTGTGTGATCAAACAGATCTAATTTCCTCTGTTTCTATCAATTCCCTTTAATCCCCCCCTCCCCCATTTATTTCAAAAACATTTCACAAACTTAAAAGTATCTATGGAACTGATCTCACGTAGTAGGATCAGATTTTTATCATTGTTGGTGTATGATTTCGGAGCATCCAGTGTGTGTGTGTGTGAATTGATATGGTTGAGGAAGGGTAGCAAGGAAGGAACTGACAAAAATGGTAAAAGAGAGGAGAGAAGATACGTTTGGAGGTTTACCTAAAGAACAAAGGAGGGAGGCAGAGCCCGTGAATTTATGTCTGGTGGGATTTGGCCGAAAGGTGGCCTCTGATAACCCCACCACCATGTTGACGAATCATAACAGGTCAGATTACACAATAACTAAGCCATGGCTTTACTCTCAACACTTTTCTTTGTTGGGTTACCCCTTTTTTTAGCTTTGTCTGCGTTTCATGGTTCAAGGTAAAGATGACTCTGATGATTCATACAATGTAATTGGTGTTGGTTCTGGGATTTGGCCCTCCTAACAAGATATTTGTATCTTGGAACCTCCGACAAAATTTGTCCGACATCATCTCACTCATGATGCTCTTAAATGATTCCTAACAATTTTATCTTAACCTTGTCCTATGTAGATAGTTAGCCTTGTGGATGGGGAAAAAAATCACGTAGGGTTATCCCTAATTTAGGGTCTACAATTCTTGAATCAAGTTTGATGGTATTTATGCTAGATAGTTATTAAAAAACGGTATTTATAATTCTTATTTATCATTGATTTGTATTTTAAACTTTTGCTATATTAAATAACTTAGAATATTGAGAATTTTGTCCCAAAAAAAAAAAGAAGAAATAATTGACAATGATGTCTTGAGTTCAAGATTGTATAAATAGTAAAGCATTTTTTAGAGTTACCTCCCATGTGGGCCTCGATTCATCTTGAATTTAGATAGTTGGAGTTGAACGTGAATAGTTGAAAATGAAGTTACTGAATAATACTACGGGAAGTAGTCTGAGTAGTTAGCAGCGGCTGAGCAATGACTAAGTTTGGCTATGAGCAATAATTTAAGTTTGGGGACCAAAAAAAAACAAATTGCGTGAAAACATATCTTTTTTCACATTCTAATTACCAATAAAATATTGAGTTCTTTTTTCCCGTTTAAAGCACTTAGATTTAAAAGTAATAAATCATGTGCCTTTGTAACGCATGAAAATTTGGTGAGAATTTGGATAGATGTTTCCACAAAATAAAATAAAAATTTGGATAGATGTTGAAATTTTTACATTAACTTTAATAAGTTAATTATCTGTGCATATGGAGAATTCTATATCTATTCAGTAATTTGGTGTTAAAGATAAAACATTGAAATTGTAGGGGAAAAAACGTCAAGACTCAATTTTCATATGAAAGTACTTTATCTCCCGTACTAAATATAAAAACTAGCCAAAAATTCAATTTGATTTTAATTATAAGATTTCAATATACTTGATCTCCTATATATATATATATATATATATATATATTTTTTAAAGCAGTTTCCATGATGATTACATATGTTAAAATTTTTTTATTCTAATGGATACGATTAAAAAGAACATTTTAAGAAAAGCAGTGCTCATTTATTATATAAATAACTGAACTAATTTTTTTTAATATCCACAAATTAATTATTTAATTTTTATATTAAGGATTGAATGTAATATTTATAAAGAAAATGAGAGTATCCAAAAGCTTTCTTTTATATCGGCTTAAAAAGTGTTAGATAGCAAGGTTGTTCTTGCCATTAAACAATTTCAGCTATCAATATTAGTTTTTTAATGGTTAGGGTGATATTATTCTTTTTCTATGTCGGGATTTTTAACGATTAGAGTGAAATTATTTTTTTTCCGAACGCTTTCGGGTAAACATTGCATTAGAAAAAGTTCCAAATACTCATAACTCCTTCATGAATACTTTTAAAAAAATGACCTTTAATTAAAAAGAAAAAGAAAAAGTCATCATTAACCACTTGCTAATAATTCTGTGAAATGTTTATAACTGCATTTTAAAAGAAAAATGTTAGGTATCTGTTCTTGAATCGTGGATGAGCCCAACCCCTTTCTTAAAATTTTTCTATAAAAAAAAAAGAAAAAGAAAAATGTTAATCTAATGAAATATACAAAGTCATAACTATTGTTTATACACACACTCACATAGAGAGAGAGAGCAATGAATGTAATCTAGTTGGTAAAAGATTTGGTCCATAACTTCTATAGGAAAATGGGCCAGTTCATCCTTAGTGGATTGGGCCCAAGCCCATTAACTTTGGAGCTCTAATGCGAATAACATAACATGTGGGTCTCAAATGGTGATTTGTAATTTTTCTTCAAATTATGGATAAGGATAGATGGGGGCAGAAGTTTTGTTTTTAAGTTACAGAATCAGTTTTGAGAAACTGAATTTACCGGCTTGCTTTCTTCCCTCCGCGTTCTCTCTTCTCATTTTTCAAAAAAGGTGCATTTGCTGTGAACATCCATTGCGACTCCATTACCGTGATCGGATTTCCGCGCGTGGCTATCTAAATCTGAGATTATTCAACACTTCAGGTATGCCCGAACACCATCATTGGTATCAGAGCATGCGTTATTTCTTCTGCTGTTCATTTCTTTATGCAATTCTGTGTTTTCATTTTTTTTCCCTGTGTGCCTTACGGTTTGGCACCACTTCAGATTTGCTCTCAAATATTATGCAAATCCTGTTTTATATTCAGTATGATAGTTGTCTATGATGATTGTGTGTTATTTATAGTTTTCCTTTGCTTCCATGAACGTCGGATGTTACAACTTTTTGTTGTTGTTGTCTCCAACTATTATATGATAGTAGTCTGCATGGGAGATGACTGAAAACAATTAAAAACATCTGGAAAATGGTAAAAACGTAGGTTTGGAAGCATGAAACTCATAACCAGTAGAGTTCGTTCTTAAGCCGTTAAAGTTTTCATTTTTAGGTGTCTGGAAAATGAAGTTTTTAGGCTTCAAAAATTATCCCATTGCGTAGAGCTCGAAAAACACCAAGAATGCGAAGAACGGACGTCGGATGAAGGAGATATGGTGGAAAGAATTTTCGGGTCCAACAGACCCGACCTGTGAAGGAACCGGGTCGGTCAGACCTGGCTGGAGGTTGAAGACAACCTCCAGCCCCCCAAACGACACCGTTTTGGCGTGACAATAATAAAAAAAAAAACATATATTGGGCTGGACGTAGGATCCAGCCCAGACAAAAAAAAAAAAGGGAATGTACTGGGCTGGAGGCAGGATCCAGCCCAGACTAAAACAAAAAAAAAAAAAACAAACAAAAATAATTAAATTTAAAAAAATTTAATAATTAAATACTGCCACGTGGCTCGCCTGTCTGACAAGTGGGCCACCCCATTTGAAAGGGGGTGGCGCATGGAAGCTGACAGCCTGACGCGTGTTGCCGTCGGCCGTCCGAATGTGGCGCGTGTACAACACGCGCCGTCTAGGAAAGTAGACACCAAATTTTTTTTAATTTTAAAGGATTTTTTGCTTCTTGGGGCGCATGTAGGCGCGTGAATGGTCCAATTGGGGCGTGGTTTGTCTTTAAAAATCCTTAAAATCAAGATCTTCATTTTGATATATAATTTGATAATTTTAGAGGCAATTTAGGATCCATTTATGAGTATTTTAGTGCGTTTTCTAGTGTTTTTATGTGGATAAAAATTCCAGAATATTCAAAATAATTTATATTATTTTGTTCTAGGTGAAAATGGAGCAAGAGGCTTCTAGTAGCACTGAAAATATCAATTATGGTTCATTGGAATACTCATTCCTAGGTGATGGAATTCCAGAATATGAACCTGAGGATGAAGATCCTGAGGAGGACCCTGAAGAGGTTCCTCAAGAAGACCCTGAGGAGTTAGTGGATTCCGGACCTGAGTCGGAAACTATGTTCCCCACTGAACCCCTCCCTATTGAACCTCAATTAGTTTATAAAGATTCACTGGATCTCCCTAATGAAATTGAAGTTGAGGAAGGAGAAGAGGTGAACCAACCTTTGACCCCCGCATTAGCTATGATTATAGCTGAGAGAGATGCAGCAAAACTGACAAATATAAAAGGAATCAATGGTGTGCTCGCCAATTATATCCAATACATGACCGATAAGAAGAATACAGAATTATACTTTAAAGTCATAATGAAGTACATAAGAGCAATAAGGGTTAGAGGTGGACCTAAAGGCAAACCCATAAGGAAGTCTTACTGGATTTGGGCCATAGAGCTAGTATCTTCCTTTATGAACAAAACACGCAAACTTAGGAGCCTAAAGAAAGCAATGCTTGAT